ACAGATAGATAGACAGACAGACAGACAGATAGACAGACAGAGACAGATAGATAGACAGACAGACAGACAGAGACAGATAGATAGACAGACAGACAGCTAGACAGACACAGACAGACAGAGACAGATAGATAGACAGATAGATAGACAGACAGACAGACAGACAGAGACAGATAGATAGACAGACAGATAGAGGTAACACTTTATAATAACTTTCATTAACAAATCATTAACAAACATTATATAATGCTTAATGGATAATTAATTAATATATATTCAAAGAGTTAGAAACATGATGTAATGTGCTTGTTAATGTCTGCTAATAAACAGATATTATTATAAAATATTATAAAATTAGATAATGTTCAAACAAATCATTATTTCATTTAAGTTAAAATGCTTACAAATGTCACTTTCAATTCCATATCATCAAACACTTCTTGAAATTCTACAAGTGATTTTAACAGATGTTATAAAATGATGAAAAGCTTTTGCTGCTATTGAGGTGTGATACGGGTACGGTTAGGCACAGGTTTGGTGGTATGGGTTGGTTTAAGGGTTGGTTAAGGGGTCAACAGTGTACAGGGGTCAGTTTGATTATTATAAGGGAACACGGTTCAATCTGTCTATATTGTATTGCTGTTGATTTGGTTGAATAATTTGTTTTCCCGTTTATGTATGATTCAAGGAATATCCTGTTTAATGATATACTGAAGAGTAGTATACTAATGTGAGTGTTGAGGCATTAAAAAATTTTTTGCACCAAAATTACAATCGGTTATGTCTTTAGCAAGCATTTAGCTAAACTTAACCAGCCACCCTTTACACAAACCCTGTTACATTAGCTAAAAGTCCAATGCCCATAAAGATACTAAATCATTAGTAATCATTTATAAACATTTACAAATGATGAATAGTTTCCACTTTAGATTGGCTACTGCAAAAACATGAACAAATTATTAATAAATGATTAGTAAAGATGTGTGAATAGAGGTCTACACAACAAAGACTTACTGAAAGTTTACTGACATTTGTAAGCATTTAAATTTACATTAAATAATCATATGAGGTAAGTTTAGTAAGTTCATTAGTAAACATTAACAAGAACATTATCTCACATTTCTAGCTATGTAAATATATATTAACTAATGATCTGTTAAGCATTATATAATGTTTGTTAATGATTTATAAATGAAAGTTATTATTAAGTGTTACCGATATATATAGCCAACATAGCCAATATTTTTAAAATTAGCATTCATGTTGATGCTGTAAATGATGCTGCCATTATACATACATTTCACTGATTTGTAACTTTCCATATTTTAGAGTGCTTGTTAATTGCATAAATCTGATTATCCCCGTCTACAACAAAAGTTGGACATCCTGAAAGTCGCATAAACAAATTCCAGTGGAGATATATATACAGATCATACTTAGACTGAGCTAAATAAACACCGGAGACACTGGATTTCCTTAGCACTTGATTTTTATTCAAACAATGCCAAAGCCAGTCTCACAGAGACACATTAGGCAATAAATAGACCAAACAAGATGTTTACCGACATATTGATACAAAAACAATAACAATTCAATAGTGCAATATCAACAAATTATGAAAGTTGAGTTTCTTGCATTGTGGTTATTAGACAGTCGTTGAGGGGACTTTGAGGTTGCGACGTCCCGGCGACTGGATGAAATGTTGTGCAAATCAATTTGCACGGATCAGTCCAACAAGGAATCTCCATTTCAGGAAAAAGGCATGCATTCATTGGCGCTAGAAATTCGGTGAGTCCATGCGCGTTTATTTCACCAGGATCTGCGGACTGAAAACCAGCAGAGAAAGGTCGCCAGCAGATGACTAAGATACCAAAACTGAGGTGCAACAATCCCACAATGCATTGCGAGTCAGTCCCGGCCCTGAGCGAGAGGTTCTTAGCACCATCCAATGCCCCAGACCCTCAATATAGCGCCCCCTCCAGGACTGGAGAGCGTCTCCACACTATAAAGTGCACTCGAACGGCTACACGTCGCTTAACTCTTGAACATACTGCAACATATTTTTAAGAACACACATATACACACACAAAAATCATGCATATTTTGGACCACGCCACTTTCGTCAAGTATCGCGATTCGTCTCGTTACGAGTCCTGAATGGAAATGCTCCATTTGGGTTTGCGCAAACATGCACGCTTGGTTTTAGCCGTAAATCGGACGCTTAACAATACCACGTCCATCTCTTCTTGCACAAAATTGTATTTATTTATTTTTTTCGGATTACGAAAAGACCAACATGTTGGACTACTTCGTTTCCTTAAAGTATAAAAAGACAAAAAGATACAAAAACTCGTTAAATACCTGATCTGAGCGTTTCTTGTGCATAGACTATACATACAATAATACTAAGGGCTGGCTAGCTAGCTTAGCTCTTTTTTAACGTTAAACCAAACCAGTAATATCGCAACGCCTTATACGACATCGTTATTCACGACTTTATTGTTTGATGGTCGTAAAAGTGGTCAAACAAAGGCGCTGCAATGAGTAAGGGTTGGTTAGGTAGCGTAGCTCTTTTTTATCGTTAAAACTAAACCGATAATATCATAAGCCTTTCTACGAAAAAAAAATTAAGGGAGAATGAAACCAAAAGACAAACAAGACAAAGCTAGCCATCAAAAATAAGGAACTTGGGAAGGAAAAATGGAGAAAAGCTTTTCGTGACATTTTTTGATGGTCGTAAAAGTGGTCAAACAAAGGCGCTGCAACGAGTAAGAGTTGGCTAGCTAGCTTAGCTATTTTTATCGTTAAACCGAAACCAGTAAAATTGCAACCCCATATATGACAAAGTTATTTGCAACAAAAGGAGCTACAATCAGTGAGCGTTGGTTAGCTAGCTTAGCTCTTTGCAAAAAAAAAAAAAATGTTTTAACACATTTGTTAATACACTGTTACTTTCAGTAAATATTTGTATAACATTTATAATTTAGTAAATCTTTGTTAAATATTTAACAAACAATTATTTTTAATAAAATTATTTAATATTCTTTAAATCTAAATATTTTAGTAAATTATATATTATATATAATATTATTATATATAAATATATATATGAAATAAATATTTTTTTTTAGTAAATATTCAAAATAATTTTTGCTAGTTACATTTTTTTTTTATAAATGTACTACATATTTGCATAATTTTTATGAATAATTTTTTCGGTAAATACTTTATATTTTAGTGTATATTTTATAAATTATTTTTAGTAAATATTTGTACATTATTTTTACTACATATGTGTGTAACATTTATAAAATATTTTTGTAAATATTTTAATACATTTTAGAGGTTATTTTTAGTAAATATTTACTGTAACTTTGTACAACATTTCGATTTTTTTTAGTAAATCTTTGATAAACATTTTTTAGTAATAGTAATATTAAATTAGTTTTTACTAAACGCTAAATACTAAAATGCTGAAAATATTAAAAATATTGCTACTTTTTATTTCTAACCACATATTTCATAAATATTGTAACATTTCAATACATTTTAAAAATTATTTCAGTAAATATTCCATAAATTGTTTAGTAAATTGCATTACATTTTATAAATAATTTTTAGTAAATATCCTGTAAATTAAGTAAATATTTTTGTACAACATGAATTTTTGGTAAATATTTTTAAATATTTATATTTAATATTTACAAATATTTTCATAAATATTTACTGTAAATTTCTAAATAAATGACTGCTTTATAACTGGAATGTGAAGCAGACTGGTGTGTTTTACTCACAGGATCAGGTAGATGAGCAGCAGAGTGTTGAGGTTGCGGACTTCTCTTTGGATGAGCAGAGATCGCGCTCTATCCGTCACGCTCCAGACCCACGAACTTCCTGCGGTGAGAGGAAGCAGAACCTCCGTTAGCCAATCAAAGTTCCGTCAGTTCATAAAGACAGTCACTTGCTTCATTCCTGAATGATTCAGCCGTTCGAACGAATCAATTGAATGAATGACTCAGTGATAAAATCAGTGACTTGCCGCCACCTGCTGGCGGATTTAGTTTAATTTTTAGCGTATAATTTTAGTTATTTAATATTTCTGTATTCAGAATTTTATATTTAAAACATTAATCTCCACATGAATTTAATTGCACTCATGCCACCTCTGAGCCTCATTAAACGTCTGAAAATGTACCTACAAGCCACTTTTGTGTTCTTCTGTGCCACCTCTGTAGTACAAATTAATTTATTAATACTAATTTCATATGATTGGTAACTTATTTGTCTTATTCTACTTCTTATTATATTGTTTTAAATATAAATTTAAAAAAGCTTAAACATAATTTTTTGAATTTGACAGATTAATTACAGCCATTACAAAGAAAATACTCCTGTAAGTCACTTTAAGGAGTCAAATGTCACCTCTGCTAATTTTTGATCAGAATTTTTGATTATTGATCAGAAGGTGCTCCTAAATTTTTTAATTAGGAGGACAAGCGCTCCTGACTGAAATTGTACGCTATAAATGAAACTAAATCTGCCAGCAGGTGGCGGCAAGTCACTGATTTTATCACCGAGTCATTCATTCAATTGATTCGTTCAAACGGCTGATTCATTCAGGAATGAAGCAAGTGACTCTTTATGAACTGACGGAAAAAACACTTTAATCCCTGCAATCAAACACATTATCACTCAGATTCAGGTCTGTCGTACCGGTGTCTTCGTCACCCGAGCTCTCGTCTGCCGTCTGCGGTGAGCCGCGAGTCGCTGAAGGGCTTTTGATCGCAGTGTTTTCTGAAGCGAGTGGAGACGCAGAGAGCTGGATCTGAGGAGACACTTCGTCCCGCTCGTCCAGACTGGAGTGACTGGAGTTCTGCTGGAGAGACGCAGGTTCACAGTCATTACCAGATCATCTGAAGCCGGTCAGACGAGCGCTGAACGCTCACTTACCAGGGGTTTGGCCTGATCGAAGCTGTTCTCGGCCGATGAGAAGAGAGGGCTGCTGTTGGCACTTCCGTCCTGTCAGAAACGAGAGCGTCAGGAGTGAATAAAAACACATGAAGCGCCAGTCAAATCACGTTAGCAAACGCTCCCTCACCTCCAGCTGAGGACAGACGGATCGCAGCAGCTTATAGCAGCCTTCTCTGTTACGCAGAGACACGAACAAATACTGCAACACAGAGAGAAAAAAATTCATATGATTTAATATAAAAAATAATTAATAATAATAATAAATATATTCTTATATTTTATTACATTATTTTAATATACTTCAGATACAAGTAAATCTCTAAATAACTATTTTTAAAAATACACATTTGAATATACTACAGATATAAGTAAATCTCAAAATAAAAAAAATGTAATGTATTATAGATATATTATAGAGAGTAAATCTCAAAATAAATTAATAAACTAAAGAACTTCTGATAAAATATTTCACGCCATAATATATATATATATATATAAATAAAAATCACATTTTAGGCTTTGTTTTTATAAAATAATAAAAAGCATTAAATGTAAAGTGTCGGGACATTTTACTTTTGAATTTTTTGTGTAATCCCCATTATTCTGAATGTTATATATATATATATATACATATATATAAAATATTGTAATACAATGTAATTTTTAAATTAAATTATTTTTATTAATTTGCATTATTCAGTACATTTCACTAAAATTACTGTAACATTTTTTTATTTTTAGCAATTATTATTTATTAGTATGTTTCACAAAAAAACTACTGTAATTAAATTTTTAATACTTATCAATTGGTATGTTTCACTAAAAATATTAAGACATTTATTTTTATTAACTAGAATTAATTGCGTTTTACTAAAAATAACTAATACATTTATTTATTTTTTAATAACTAACATTAATCAGTATGCTTCACAAAAAATCCTGCAATACATTTGATTCAATTATTTTATTACTTAGCATTAATCAATATATTTCACAAAAAAATTAATTTCTTTTTATTAATTAGCATTAATCAGCATAAATTTAATAATTTTTTCCCCATTTAGTAAAAAGAATTTCACAAGACAATGTGCTTATTGTCTAAAAAAAGGATATGATATTTATATATTATTGTAATAGCCCTTAAAATGTACTTAAAGGGGTCCTATTATGCATTTTCACTTTTTCAACTTTAGTTAGTCTGTAATGTTGCTGTTTGAGCATAACAAAGATCTGCAAAGTTACAAAGCTCAAAGTCCACTTCAAAAGGAGATATTTTATTTAACAGAAATCACTTTTCAAAAACTACAACGAACGACTCGTTTGGACTACAACGCACATTTTCCGGGATTTGTGATATCACAAAGATCGACGAATGGGACGAGACCTGGTAATGAGTGTTATCACTATGTCAGAGACACGCTAGCTTTCCCAAGGCAGACGAACTTAGAGGGGTTACAATCATCCTGGTTTAAATCGCGCTCAAATTGATTTGATTTTGACGCAATATTTACACTGAAGCTCGCAGGCGGCTATGGTAAGGGACGTGACATTTCCCGACCAGGCACCGAGTGCTGCCAATCACAACACACACTGGCCCAGCTAACCAATCACAACACATTTCGTATTTCAGAAGGCGGGACTTCACTTGATACAGGAACTATTCGAGCCGTTCATGCCAGACTGGGGAGAGAGGTGTTGTAATAATGTAAAATATGTGAAAAACAATGTGTTTTTCGAACAACCTAGTATGAGAGCCTGTTCTAGTACACCCCCAAAACAAAATCAAGACTTTGTAAAAGAGCATAATAGGACCCCTTTAATGTTTTCTCTATTGATTGTGGAGTATGAAGCTCATGAGGCGAGGCGAGTGTTTGAGGATCTGACCTTCTCTCCGTCTGTGGTTCGGATGGAAACGGCGTTTGGCACGAGCAGCGCTGTGTTCTGCTTCTTCAGGACGCTCACACTGGCGACGGGAACGACCAGCTGAAACACACACAGGACTCTGTTAAACTGGGCTTTGATCAGGCTCTGAACGCCTGCGGATCGGAGCGCTTCGTTACCTTGGTGTCTTTGAGCAGCACGGAGGAGAAGAAGCACAGGCTGCTGTCGGTGACGTACAGACGGCCGTGATAAGGCACTTCCTTCTGCAGCGCACACACGTAAGCTGGAAACACACGATGACACAGACGTCACAGACACGCCTCGGATCCGTGTGCACTATTGAGCGCGAGACTGAATGTACAAGATAAACAAAGCCTGTGTTCTCACCATGCAGCAGGTCTTCAGTCTCGGGGACTTCTGGGAAGAGTTTGTGGAATGTTTTGTTGTGCTTCATAAAACTCTGAGAAGGACACAGGAAATGAGAATTAGAAGCGTTTTAATAACGTGTCATGTTTGAAAAGACTAATGAAAAGTCCTCTTACACTTCTTGAGTTGAGGCTTTCGCTTCTCTCCAGAGGTCTGTCGATATCAAGAGTGTGAGACCTGCCAATAAAACACCACACATTTTACATATCGATGAAGTAATTAAAAAATGTATGTGGGTCAAAGACGAAAAAGGATTTATGCATAAAAACAATAAGTGTGATACTGCTTTAAATTGTTGTTGTTTTCCCCCCAAATTTAAAAAAAAAAAGTTTAATTTAATTGCATTTTTGTTTTTCTGAGCAAAAAATAAACATCATACATTTTTCCCTGATTAACAGAAGACACCCACTAAAATGTCATTCAGTGTAACAATCGTGTCAGGCATATTTCAATTTATGACATTAAAAGACTAATTACTTTCACTCCAAATACTAATTAGTTGTAATTTTACATTTTTTAAATGTGCCTCTATCCTAGGTTTTGCCCATTTGTCAGTAAGAACTTTTACTCATTTAAAACACAATCAAATGTAATATGCTCCCTTATTCTTTTATATATTTTAACATGTACACGTCAGAATAAGCATGTTTGAATTTTTACATAAATATTGTGTTACACTGAATGACAATGTAACATTATTTCAACCAGATTTTGACATTTTATCCTCCAAAAACGGTTTTGAAACCTTAAAAGTAGACACTTTACTTACATTCAATGTGCTTTCTATAGACATAAAATCACTTTTGTAAATTTCTTTTGATGCGGACATCTTAACGTCTTTGACCCATGTATAGAAAATTTTAATTTAGATTTTTTTAAAGATTTTTAAATATACTTTTATGTATTTTATTATATACAGCTTAATCTGTTTTTTTTTTTTAATTAAAAAATATTTTAGCATTTCTCTTTTTTCAAATAAATTCAAATTTGTCTTTATATATGAAAACACAAGATATTTTATATAAATGTAATTTGTTTTGAATTTTTGAATTTTTACATTTATTCTTCCTTTGTTAAATGAATTTTAAAAATTCACTTTATGTATGAAAATGACATTTTTGATATCGGTAAAGGCCTAAAACATGTTTTAAATATTATAAACAAATATATTTAATATAATAAATATTATAAATAATATAATGAATATTTAATATATTATATTTATTAATAAATGTTTAAAAGAAAAATAAAGTGTATAATTTCTTCTTTAAAAAAATTAAAAATATATATATATTTTTTTAAAAATTTTTTTTACAAAAACACATTTTAAAAATTAATGATTGGCAAATAATTTTTATATTTATAAAATATTTAATAAAATATTTATATTTTTATGAATATTTCAATATTTTATTAATTGTATCTACTATTTTTTTTAAAGACACTATCTATATTTTTTTTTTAAACATTTTTCTTTATACAGGAATACACCACTTATTTTAGATATTGATGAAGATAATAAAATAATAAATATTTCATATAATTTTTTTTTTTTTTTTTTACACACACACACACAAACACATCTACATATATATAATTTTTTTCCCCCTCTAGATGAAAACACCACATATTTTATATATTGATAAAGGTCATTATAAAACCCTTATTAAAAAAAAAAAGTAATTTTTTTTATTTATTTTTTTAAAATTTTATTTCCACCCATCCTTCTATATTCATAACAGTTTCCTAACAGTGTCATGTTGACCATCAGAGTGATTGTTTAGGCTGGTCTACAGTAGCAGAACTGGTTAAACGCAACAACTCGATGGAAAGACTCGGACGCTCTCGTACCTGTGCAGGACCTGCCGGCTCAGGCTCTTGGTCTGCTGCTGAACCTCCAGCTGATTCTCCTCCAAACTAAACACCTTCCTGCTCCCCAGCTTGCTTTTCGTCCTCCCCTTCTTCACCTTCGCGGGGATCGTCCCGGCGTCCACCGCATAGCTGTGAAAACAGCACAAAACCACCGTCAGCCTCATGACTACGCCGCTCGCAGCTCTCCACTCCAGCCTTAAACGCCGCCTGACTTCACGAGGCCATGCGAACGCTTGCAAAAGACAGACAGATGGGAAATACAGGGCATTTACCAGGAGTAATGATATCAAATCATGCAAACAGCTCAGCTTTACGAGTTTCTCTCAGCCGCTGATACGAGTGTAATGGTTAAACAGAGTCAAACGCGCCAGGAAAGCAAATATATGATAAAACAGACCAACAGCACTTCACTCCGACCTCTATAACACAACCACAGCAGTAAAAACTCAAGAGTAAACACTACCGACTGAAAAACAACCTTCAAAGGAAACCCCGCACCAATTTTCGCTTGGAACTTGCTAGTAAAATTCAACAGGTAATACATTGAATGCAGCCCATTGAATGTAAACCTACTCTACCAGTACAAATACTCCAATACTCTTGCTTAAAAATGACTGAAGTCCTATTCGTTCACACCTGTAGAGATTATTTCCATGCCTGCGAGATAATCGTAAACTCAACGATCTGTTCATCCTCAAAAAAAAACAAAAAAAAAAGTGTACACAAAACTGGCCTCAAGCCATAACGCTGGAGTCTGATGCTCGGCCAAAAGCAATAAATAAAGTCTAGAGGCTCAGCGAGTCTAAAAAACACAGGTCTGGTCTGCGGTCGCGTTCCAGTGGGAACTGCTGCCTTTCTCTGTATGCAAATGAGAGGGGCGGAGCTAGAACTCAGCTATGGTCTGCAGTTTCTCCAATGGGAGCTGCTCCCTTCCCACTGTATGCAAATGAGTGGGCAGAGCTGAAGACAGAGTTCTGGTCTGCGGTCGTGCTCCAATGGCCGCTGCCGCTTTTTCCTGTATGCAAATGCGAGTGGGCGGAGCCTCTGACCTCAGATGGTGTGACTGTGGCATGCTGATGTAATGCAACACCTGCACGCAGAGGCAGGAGCCGCAGGTGAAAACATGCTGAGAAACACAGCAGTGGCGCTTGACAAGAAGCGAATGCGTTTACAGTCAACAAGTCATGATTTATAGAAGCGAAAGTCGAATCGCTGTAATTCTTCGCCTGAAAGGAACTCAAAGTAACCGCTTCCTCGTTAAGCACTGAGGGTTTTTTTTTTGTTGTTGTTGAAATGCTACATATGCTAAGCACAGCTGCTGGAAACCTTTCCCAGCATTCAGAGCCATTCAATTTATGACTGAATTTATGCAGAATTATATATAGGTTAAAAGACAGCGTATGACATGTAATAAAAACACTTGCAGTCCTATGACTAGGTATCACACTCTAACAAGCATGAATTAAATTCAAATTACTATAAATATATATAGATATATTTTATATATATTTAATTTGCTTTAAAGAAAAAGTATAATTTATTAATATATGTATAATATATTATAATACTTGTTGAAAAACTTATATATTTTCACTTATCTTTCTTTAAATAAATTTTTCTTTACATATGAAAATAGCTGATATATGTATATCTTACATATATTTAATTGGTTTGAAAGAAAATACATTTGATCATTTATTCATCTTTTTTAAATGAATTAGATTTTTTTCTTTCTATATGAAAATGCCACATTTTTTATATTTGAAATGGCCTATAATATTTTAAATATTGCAAAGAAATATATATATAATTTACAATGTATTTTTCTTTTAAAAATTCTTTTAATATTTTTTTATATTAATTTAATTAAAAAAAGCTTTTTTCTTTATGAAAACAATCTTAATATAAAAGGCTAAATAAATAAATAACATTTCTTTAAACACATTAACTGTTTTTTTAAAAGAAAACTACGTTTTATAAATTGTTTTTTTTTTGTCATACATAAACTTGCCACATATTAAATAAATAAAAGACCTATTAACATATTAAACCTATTACCCATATTAAAAAAATGTAATAAACGCACCGAGCAGGCATGCATCCACCTACGATGGGCGTAACGATTACGAATGACTCTCAAATGCCACGGAAACATTCCTGAGCTCATCTGCGAGGGAAGGGAAGCTTTTACAGCCAAAAGAGAACAAAAGAAAACCATTACGACACAAGGAAGCTGGCAGCCACTGAAATAACGTCTAGAATTTTACAGAGAATTCAGCCAGCTTTTGTTAAGAGTGTTTCATCTTGAAACCTTTAGATATGAAAGCAAATCAATGGCACGCAAACACATTCAAAAGCAGAGCCGCACCTGCAAGAGGCTAATTTGGCGTCACCGATGAAATAAACACTAAGTCTAAAGAAGGCTTCCTAGATGTTGCCAAAAAAGCAGGAATACCAAGAAATAATTCTTAATGTCATTTGCATATAATAAGATGTGTAGAGGGTTTTTTCTGACCTAAATAAACACACTATAAATGCTAAATCTATACGAGGAAGTAAACGTAATTTAAAACTTCACATGGAACCACTGGGACACAACACAATTAAATATAGAATTGAAAGAATAAAATGGGAATTATAAATTTTTCATTTTCAATGCTGATACTGATTACAGTAACAGAAAAAAATTAAATAATTAAATTACAATAAAATTAATAAAAACTAATAAAACATATATTTATATAATAAGATGTGTAGAGGGTTTTTTCTGACCTAAATAAACACACTATAAATGCTAAATCTATACGAGGAAGTAAACGTAATTTAAAACTTCACATGGAACCACTGGGACACAACACAATTAAATATAGAATTGAAAGAATAAAATGGGAATTATAAATTTTTCATTTTCAATGCTGATACTGATTACAGTAACAGAAAAAAATTAGAAAATAATAAAACAATAAAATTAATAAAAACTAATAAAAATATATATTTAATAAAATTATACTAATAACTATTATTAGTAGTATTAGTATTCAGTAATATATTATTTTATAAATTATTTTGCATACAGAAAAATTAAAGAATGTAATAATGAAATATAAACTTTTAATTTTCTCAATCTCAATGGTTATTCTGATAATATAATATATGATACCAAAAAATGAATGTGATTCTGGTAATATAGTAACTTTTTACTGTATTACCTAAAATATTCACACAAAATGGTTTAAGCATAAACTAAAGCAACTAATTTACTGCATCACTTCATTTTCTTCACGCAAAACATAATTGCTGCTTTCGCTTTTGCAATCAGCGTAAAACAAGCCACACAAGTTCTCTGCAGAGTACGATGTATTAAAGACATTAAAGCACACTTCATATTGCAGATCTATTTTTAAAAGCCCTCAGATCACACCCTTTAACCGGCTTCAGTAAACCCCCAACCACAGTGTTTTCTCCTGTCTGAAGTCGAGTATTCAGGCGAAACAGAGGCATTTTGGGAATCTGCTGCCCCGCTGTGGGAGTTTGTAAGAATGCAAGCCAGCAAAGTCATATTTGTAAATGATGTGAATGCATTAAATAAACCAAACACTCTGTTCAAACAGTTTGAGTCAATGCCATTAGGATTTCAACTGTGTCATTCCGGTTTCGTGGCATTAGAACAATAATAAAGGACCCAGAGATCCTGTTTAACAGTCTTATATCTCATGCACAATGAACCTCGCGACTTCTATTTGGCTTAAAGATGCGCAGTGATTTAAAGAGAAGACAACGAGCATCAAACATCCCCTGTTGACTCGTCTGATGCTGAAGATAAAACCAGATGAGATAAGCAACAAACGGTGGCATAAACACACCAAACAAGGAAATGTGTTGGGAGTTCAAGGCCCGTTTTCAGCGATAAACGTTTATCGCGCTCGCCTTTGTGCTGACAACAAAAGTTCAGTCTTTGCAAATGAGTCAAAGTGTTCGAGAACGGTTGGTTTTGGTGATTTAATTGGCATGAACAAAGACAGAACTAGTCAACGTTTTGGTCTTTAAAGCTGTTGGAATTCAATCCGCTAGCTATGAAACCAAATCCCCGGCAAGCTAGCGGCTCAACGACGTACTCGCAGCTGCTCACCATCATATATCAGAGTAGGGCTGTGCGATTAATCGAAATCGAATCGAAATCGCGCGTTCATGCTTGCCGCACTCACGCAGCCGGTCTCGTAATGCTCGTTTATACTCGCACCCGGCTCCGCACTGCAAGTCTTCACGAGCGCATCTGGCAGTATGGATGAGGCTTGGCGCAACCTGTGTCGACTCGCGCCTGGCTTCGCGTTTAAAACGAATGTAAATTCAGTCTAACAGTTTGCTGATTTCACTTGGATGAAATGAAACATTCAGCACATTTTCCACTTGTTCTTAAAATCCCAAATACTTAAAATGAATAAATCAGCCTATGTAACATATGTAATACTTTAATAATTGACTTAAGAAATACAGTTCTTTATTTATAAAAAATAGACAAATATTTTCTGTGAAATTCAGTAATTAAGTTAATTCTGTAAAAGTAGTTATACCATTATAATCTTGCCTGCTGAAAAAAAAAAACTATAGAACCCCTCCCAAAACACAATAAAAAATGTAATGGATTTCAGGGTTATAATGGGAATTGTATTGGTTTTTGTAATGGTTTAATGGAAACTATAAGAATTTCTGTGATGGTTTCTATTGTTTTTTTCAGCAGGGTAATGATACCCATACTGTGCTGCACATTATTGGCAATATTGAGCTGAAGCTTGACTTTGCAAATTTAAAATCGCAAATCAAATCGCAATCGCAATATCTGTCAAAAAAATCGCAATTTGATATTTTCCCCCAAATTGCACAGCCCTATATCAGAGCTAGCTAAAGCAGTTCTAAACGTCTCCTACCTTCCCAAATCCTCACGTGTGGCCGTATCCAAGCGGTTTGGGTCCTTATCGCCATCCATTGCAGCGTCCTCCCAGCGCTAGCGACTACTGAACTGCTTTTGACCAGCTGAACTAGATGCTGAGCAATGGGGTCTAAAGGTTTCCTTTACAGCTGCTCAGTTACACAAGCGCAGGCCGTCGGAAAAAAAGTGAGATAGTGAGGCACAGGGAAGCCAAAGTGGGAGTCGAGGGAGGGATAAAGGATCCCACAATGGCCCATTTGAATGCCATTGAAGACATGCAAACAAAGGCCTCGCTAGTGGCCACCTATTGTCTTTGTGATGGGGTAGAAGGTCAACAAACCCATGGGAAATCTAGAGAAAGACCTCCACAAGACCAGGAGTTTTTTTGCAAGGATCTGATTTGGCCAATACTGGAAGCAAATAAATACTTCAAGTATACTGGAAGGTTTCTGTGTGAACCTGAAGTTGCTTTCCAACAACTAAATTCTGACTTTTGAGAGTGACAAAAATGTGACCCTGGATCACAAAACCAGTCATAAGGGTCAATTTTCCGAAATTGAGATTCATACATCAGCTGAAAGCTGAATAAATAAGCTTCCATTGATGTATGGTTTGTTAGGATAGGACAATATTTGGCTGAGATGCAACTATTTGAAAATCTGGAGGTCTGCAAGGGTGCAAAAAAATCTAAATATTGAGAAAATCATCTTTAAAGTTGTCCAAATGAAGTTCTTAGCAATGCATATTACTAATCAAAAATTAAGTTTTAATATATTTACGGTGGGAAATGTACAATATATCTTCATGGAACATGATTTTTACTTAATATCCTAATGATTTTTGGCATAAAAGAAAAATCTATAATTTTGACCCATACAAGTTTTTTTTTGGCTATTGCTACAAATATACCCCAGCGACTTAACACTGCTTTTGTGCTCCAGGGTCACAAATGGCTACTTTATAATTTTTTATAAAGGCAAAAAAAATATTTAAAAATCCATGCAAAATGATACATGGAAAAACTGAGCAAAACCCAGTTTATGTGAAAAAATACACAAATTTGATTTTGAACATAACATAAAAAATTAATCAACCAAGATTTTAATCAAGAGTTTAATCAAACAAGAGTTACATTTTTCTCAAGACAGCTAAAAAAATAAATGAAAACCAGTGTTATTTTAGTATCATTGAGTTACTAATATTTTGAATTACTTTTTATTTCCCTATTTTAATTTTAGTTAATGATACTTTATTTTTTTGTATTTTGTGTCTATATGGATGTATTAATTTTAATTTTAGTTTCAGTTATTTTAGGAAATCAAGTTAAACTAAATGAAAATGATAAATGTTGTAACTTACTTTTTTATTACCACTGAACCTTTTCTCCATCTGACCCCTGACCTCCTTGTGCCATTATAAATAAAGATGATTCATCCCTGGCCTAATGCACACTGCACATACACAAGCATTCAAGGCTGATGTTTGCCAATGGAAACGCATCAGCTCATATACGTCCACATCTGCACGGTGAATCACCGAAGATAGCTTAAAGATCCTTGTCAAGGCCTGAAAACAAGTAGTTCTTGAATCTTAAGTTCTGCACTTATTATTAATCAGTATTTCTCAGGGCATTCTGTACTTCTGTTTATAAGCAAGACACCATGTTCTAACAGAGAAGATTAAGTGAGTGTTTGCCCAGTTTCATGGAGCACACTAGCATAACGTGATATTGAGAATATCAGGTCAGTTTTCATTGCATAAGCATAAGATTTTCACGCTCTGTAAAACACAGGGGTACTAGATCACCATTGGTTAACGGATGGGAGGAACTGTCGACTGAATGCAATTCAAGATCGCTGCCAAGAAGCCGACATGTAAATCAGAGATCGACGGGTTGAATTGTGTCAACGCTGCACACCAGGAAACCATAGATCATTTTCAAGAAAGCCTCCATTAGAATTCACTAGTTGAGCAAGTCGTGTGTTACCCAGCTTGCAAAATGAATAGACTTGAGCAGAAGCAGTGAGAACACAGTCAAACCACACGTAGAGAATAGAAGGTCCTTCATCAAAGTGTGATAAATGAGCCGAGTGGGTGTTTGCTGAAAAAACAGTGATGTGTTAAACCACACGAAAACTTGAGCTTGAGCCAACAACATTTAACCAACAACAAACCACACTAAGTTGTCCTATACCTCTAAAAAGAAATAATAAATAAAATCTAAACATAGAAACTACATCAAATCCAAAGTTCATATCCATCTCTCAAAATACACCAAATCTTGGTCTCAAAACTCGAGATGAATTGCAAAAGAAACTCAAAAGAACCAAAAGCGAGACTCTTAAAAATTGGTGTAACCATGAAACCTGAGCTAACATCTTCAAAGAGTGGCGTAGAATAAGGTTTAGGCCTTGACATCTATCGAGCCATGATGTCCGTTCAAGAGCCAACACCAATCCCTGTGGGCAAACACAGCTTGCCACTTGTGGACGGGGGCCAAACCTACGACACAGAGGACATTTGTGCAAGTCACATGACCTGAATGTATCCGTCTCACTTCCTCAGTCTAAGGATAGGACAGGAATCACATGAAACTGATCATATTTTGTTCTTTTGGTGTGGTTATTAATAGCTTAGGGGAACTTTGTTTGGGGAAGTACTTCATGCAAGTATTGTTTTTTTCAGTAAAGGTGCTAAAGGTTGAGGCCACCAATATGTCATGGGTTCCTCAATGTGGATTTCACCAAATCAGTGTGAAATGCTGGGGACTGGAACGTTGAGAACTTTGAACATCTGCTTGACTTTCGCGGGCAACGAAGAATCAAGAATGCTGCTTTGAACTGATGCACTAAGAAGCAGAAAGACTTTAACGTGCCAAATCTGGAAGCCACATTAAAATTTACAAGGAGTGGTCCAATCTTACTCAGGGGAACCCAACAGACCTTCTAAAATGACCTCAACTCTATCCAAACAAAGTTCCTTATGTAGGAGCGACGCTCAAAAGCTGTTGTGCAAGACTTCAAGTATAACTCAACGTCCTTTACCGGTTATCTATGTGAACGATAAGCGGACAGGGCCCATACTTTTCTTTACAAGGTCCGGAGAAGCTAATTCAATTCCATTGGGAAACAAAATTAGCCCAGACAGCTTGCCCACACCTGGCACACCACCTGGAACAAGCTTTTGGGCTAAAAATAGACGCCGATAGATAACGTGACCCACATGTGTTGGAATACCAATACAACTGAGGGTCTATGAGATCATCTGTTTATCTGGAGAAATGCTTGTCAATCTAAACCACTTATGGGGCATTGTGATGTAACGTCGACATTTAGCACATGCCGTAATTTGACACATTCCTGCTCCAAATGACATTTAGGACCATCACTGAAGACAATGCAATTTGGCCAAGAAAGAAGTTCAATTGCATTCCAACTGCCCGAGTGAATGGAAAACTCACACCTTGATGATGGTTAGGAATTTAGAGCATAACGGCGATGTGGATTGGTTTGTTTATGTCACAATTGCAGATGAGGGCTACACCATTCATGCTACACTGGTATAAGAATAGCTGGAGTGAACTGGTATATTAATAGGTATATTTTCCATTAAATGGCTCAATGTAAATTGGAACTCATTGGAAAATGTGAGTTAGGGAAATCAGCTCTAGTCTAAAACTAGCCCAGTAATTCCTTTACAATAACATGAGTGATGCGATCCAGGTACAGTACCGGCTTAACGACTCTAATAATAACCAACACAAAGACAAGTCCACATAAAAAGCTGGTATTATATTACACTGCATGGCTATTTTTTTTTTAGGAGTTTGGAGGTTTTTAAGGAGGCTGACATTGTAAATACAATAAAAAACATGGTGTTCAGATATGTACCTTGTCATATATTACCATATACATATACAATATTATATATGCACCATGGTAATACAATAATTCACCATGGCATGTCCAAACACACACTGGTACTGTCATGATAGGCCTACATGTCAAAAACAACATTCCTATTATCACCGTGGTATATAAAAACTGTGGTGAAATAAAAACATGGTACAGCCACGGTAGATGGCATTTTACCATTGTATTTTACTGTGGTAGTATCACAGTGGTCGTATCAGATAATACCATGGTATTTTAACATGTACCAGAGTATTTCATGTTAGTCCAATGCTCTACCATGGTACCTGTCCAAAAACATAGTGGTGTTGATTCAATGGTATTTAAAAAAAATAAACACCACGGTGTTTACATCTAACATCTTCACTGTACCATGGTACTACCACGGTAAATGGAATGCAGTAAAAAGCATTAATGGCAGGGATATCTAGGAAAAGACGTGTAAAAAAGCAATGTGTTTACTATAAAGTAATAAATAAAATGATATCTAATCTGTCAACGGGAAGCAATAAAGTCATCACACACACACACACACACACACCCACCCACCCTCTCTCTCACTCTCTCACACACACACACACACACCCCCACCCACCCTCTCTCTCACT